ATTCAACTTAGTTATGCAGGATAGCCTTAACGAGTCTTATTCAATAGGGTCCTGCCAAGCAATTGCAGTAGAGGGTGATGAATGCTATTCATAATCCCAACTGAATAAAATAAAAAGGCCTGTAGGGCCTGGACAGCAGTATATTGGAGGCCAGCCGTGGCATGGTCCTTACCCACACCTATGCATGGCCAGAATGCATGGATCGTCATTGGCATAATCTCTGTTTGAATAGCATTTAAAATAAGAGGTTTTAACATGGGAATCAGAAAATTTATTTTGACTGGAGGAATCCAGTATGGGTGGGTCAGCAAGTTACAACAGCACAGTACAAAAACACAATAGCAGTGCAAAATTGAGAAAATTGTAAGCAAGTCACGAAATCGAAATGCTAAATTATTATTATATATAAGTCCGATTTATCAAAATTGGGCAAGGCTGCAAAAACAATAATAAAACAGTACCAGACCACACCAGGATAACACCACACACAGTAGTCCATCAATAAAAAGGCACATTAACATTTAAATATCGTTACACAGGTAATGATAAAAGTTACAAATCACATTTGCAAATGCGACTTTATCCAGCACCAATATTCTGCTTCAGAATCATCCACAGAAGAATAAAGGTTCCTGTTGGAATCATCCAGGGTGGAATCATAGGAAATAATTCTTGCAGGAATCTTCCAGGTCGAATAATAACATTATTAACTAATAACAAGTTGCTTTTATTTCACAGATATCATACAATGAGGAACACACAACAGACTAGGTATTGTGCCACACTAATGACTTTCAGAATAAAAAAAAACCATAGCAAGGACATTTATGAAAAGAAACCGCATGTATGGCATAATTCCTATTCGGAAGAAATTAAGGGACCTTAGACACAAAATAATGCAATGTTATTCCTATCCCTGTTTCTCAGAAACCGTCATTCACCGATTTGGAAACAGGCTGTTTACTCAGATCGATAGACCTTTCAGGAAGCCATTGTCATCATGTTCGCAGGAAGAAAAGCCTTTAAGTATGAGGCATTTGTAATGAGTTTCGCTATCATTGTGTTGCCATTGAGGTACACGAAGACAGTAAAACTGTTTCAAGACGTAGCTAACATTGCTCGAAATTACCCACAACCTAACATCAAGCAGTTTTACATAAGCGCTGAAAGCGTTGTGTTCAGGTTTAATTGCTTTGGATCTCAATGCCCACTGCAAGTGAGGGTGGTAGGGCAAGTGAATGTCAAACACGTGTCGCTTGGCAGGAGGCAGGAAGGATAAAACATAAGACTTGTATGCAGTTGACACATATCGACTGGGTCGAAAAGTGGGTTGTGGGTTGATGTCAACATCAAGATCACCAATGGGGAGAGACGTGGGCAGAGATGGTGCTGACCTCTCAGCCCCTTTGTGTCATGCCACCATTGCTAACAGCTCATTCCCACAATGGCCCATCCGATCCTTTATCAAGAGACATTGTAACACATTATTATAAACTGCGCTGTGCTCTATAATTTTATTAAAAATAAGACAGCTTTAAACAAAGGTTGTTGACAGTTTCCTGTAATGGTCTGGATAACCAGATGTCTGTTGACGGTTTAGGCTACTTTGCGCTTTGACACATCAGGTGCTATAAAGCATCCACAGGTTTTTTTGGTTGTATAATTTTACATTCAGTATATGGCGGCAAATATTTACTTGTTTGTAAAATGTTTGCAATGGATAAGTTAGGAGTGATTGGATGCCCCTCCCCCCACCACCACTTGCCGCTGTTCACCCTGTAGCAAACGTGGGAAGGACAGAGAAAGGTGAGCTTTCCCTTTCCCAATCAATACCCCTGCTATCTGCTGCAGTCACCATTAACTCGTACACTTCCTGGAACTACATTTAAGAACACCCACTACCCCTACGAGCACATCTTCCAGTCATGCCTAACGCACACCCCTTTGTCAGTCCACTTGGATGAAGGCTTCCCCCACGCCATGTCAGTTGAGAAGGTCATTTGACCATGCATCACAACTACTGGCCACTGCACATTGGTGAAGGCGAGGGGTACAAAATCGTCTCAGACATGACTCGTCACTGGCGTTAGTCGTGGTCGGGAATCAAACTGAGGTCACCGGGTTATAAACAGAGTATGCTAACAACTTCGCCACCATTCCCCCCCCCTATGTTTAAGAATTATGAAAATACTAAATACTCTCGCAAAATTCTCTGCATTAGACCAAGGGTCTGCAAGTCTTTTCAACCTCTAGATCCCCTTTTGATGTAGCTTAAAAATGTTTAGGTGGGGAGAGGATATAGTGCGAGCCCCCCTCTAATGACCCAGTGGACCCCCCTTCTGGAGGTCACGACCCACCATTTGAAAAATACCGTCATAGACTCTGCAAATAATTTAGAAGGGTATAGTTATCTTCTGTGAATAGTGTTGCTTTATTGTTAGATGGTTAAATAAGGCCTTCACCATCAGTTTGCCATATAACCTTGTAAGCAGCCTTGAGGTCTTCGGATAAGATACGGATCTGCAAAGCTGAGCTTTACCTGTTTTCAGAATACAACTTGTAAAAAACCAACGAATAGAGATACAAACATACAGATACAGTGTTGCTGTAAGATAAACACATCATTAATGACATGTCTAAGATAACAATATATACGCGGTGCCATCATATGAAAATACACATATTTCACGTGGATATCTATAGTATGTAAAGGCATAAGACAAAAATGCCCTGGCAACAGGAAGGTTGACCTCAGCCAGCCCTGCCTTGAAGCCTCTGCCAAGTTAATAATTTAACTCCTTCCAATTTTGACACTGTCTGAATAAAACCACTTCACCATCTGCAGATATCGGCTTAATCACATCTATACTTACACTTATTAGCAGTATGCTCACTTAAAAGCGAATGTGTGTCCAGATGCTGCTTAAGCAGTATTCATGGTTTTCCATTAATTTCAAGTTCAAGTATTGTAAGAGATATGTTTTACAATGTATAACAAAACTGTTCAGCCTATGTATTGCAAAAGTATTAACAAATTATGTGGTTTGTATTTTATTGGGAAGTTTACAAGCTGGTGGGAAAGTTCACACAATAGCTATTTATCCAGCACATATTTGCAGTCTGCACAAAATGGGCTGGTTATGTTCCTTAAGCACAATGGTGTGCATGGTAAAAAAAAAAATCTCGTGAGTGATGGCTTCGCGGTAATGTACAAGGACGGGGTTTGGGGTAGTCAGCCAGTATTGGGTTAAACCCATCCCGGGTAGGACTCCCTTCCCAGGGAGACCAACAGAAAGACCCTACGCCTACATAAAATGTCATCTGCTGGATAAAATGATTACTTATAGTGTTTTTGCAGTTTTTAATATTTTCCCCCAAACCTTCCATTTTTCAAACCAACCCCTGGAGAAGCGCTACATGCTTTAATAAACGTGCTGTATAAATACTACATGTAATTTTATCTGACTAGCCTTTTTTTCACAAACCTGCCATATCGACGTTTATTTGGATAAAATCTGCCTTCAGGCTTCATAGTTTATTGGGACAGTATTCGGAGACATACATCAAAGTTTTTCTTTCATATTAACAGTTTTGGATACAGTGTTCAGGCGATTCACAAGACAATGCTCTCAATATCTACATGTAGGGTCAGCGAGAGACAAAAATACAACAAAGACAAAGGGTCCCCTCTGTAGCCATTCAGATTGTTTGGGCAAGTGCTGTTTTGCAAGCATCTATTCAGGCAAATCCACAAAATCAGTTTAGTCCGTCACTATTAGTGTCTGATATTAACCTTGTTTGATCTAAGATAAAATGTATTTGTTTCAGGTAATGGTGTTATTTTAATTGAACTAATTTCTTAAATAAATGTCAACTCTCGTTTATTACGTGAGCTTGGACATTTTGTCAGTCTTTTAAACATCTAGTTTTCCTACAAATACATATATTGCTTTATCCAACTAGTTTCAGGTCACATTCTGCATGCGATAAAGTAGAAACTGGTCCAGTGTGCCTACTTAAATAAATTCTGCTGGAAAACATTAGTCCAAAAGGCCCATACGGTGATGTCGCGAAACATTAAGTAAAAATGTGCTTGTTTTTTGCTACTTTCTTATGTATTACCCCTACACCAGAACAGCAGATTATACATTTTGACAATTTCATCAACAAGGGAGAGATACAGTAAAACCCACATCTTCTCACACTGCACACACGCATACACATACAAGCGTGACTCGCTTAACGCGCGAGACACATCCCGCGAAAATTGCTTGGTAAGCTCGTTAAACGATCGTCGTTTCTCAACGATTCCCATGTTAAAAGCTGAGCTATGTTTCAGCGCCAACATGTTCCACTCTTGCACAAATATTTGACATGAAAAACACAAATTATAATTTCAAAATAAAGTGATAAAACATCAAATGTAACATTTACCGCACATGAAGAACCAGTGCTTGGAGGTGCCTGGCATTTGTTGTTTGAAGGGTAGATGATGTTATTGGGTGGAGGGAGCAGCAAGGGCCATGCAGGATCGCTGGTTCAAATATCACTCGCCATTGATGTTAGTCGTGGCTCGGAATCAAACCAGGGTTGCTGAGTTCATAGCCACTATTCGGGGATACGAGATGGGGCGTGACTTCCTGTCCGCAGGATATGCAATTAATTAGGACTGCCACCCACCCCTCCCCACCCATTACAGTGCCACCACGAGGCCCCCTCCCCCACACGATGAATAATGGAGACACATAGCACAGTCGGAAAGCAAACAGCTGCGGGCCGCTATGCGCCCCCTTCCGCTGCAGGACGCATATCTATTGATCGCTCTCGGCACGCTAAGCGAACATTTTTCTCGTTGCGAACAAACGGGTCTCAATTTAAATTGCTCGTTATATTTCGTAAAAAGAACATAGAAAGCCCAGTGCGACAGGTGAGCGGTCAGTGTCCGCCCCCGGCCCCACCAATCGAGCCAGCGAGCTGCTGCCCATAGCGTAAACACTCACCCCCGCACAGCGTGCATCAGCCTGAGGCTGGGGAAGGCGGCTCGAAGAGGGAGGCCCAAGGTCAGCAGCAGGTTGTTGACGATCTCCACGTGCTGCTCTCCACCTTTGGCCATGAACGCCGGGATCCAGAGGATGCTGCTGTTGAGGGCGCGCAGGCGACGGCCAAAGCGGTCGTGGTCGGCCTTCGTGCGCAGGCCGCCGTACGTGCGCTCCACCACCGACGGGTTCATGGTGACGAAGTCGACGCGCGAGCCTACGTCACGCTCGTAGCCCTCCACTGGTGCCAGGTTACAGCTGTGGTGTGCGTGAGGGGAAGAGACAGCGGTGTGTGAGCAAAGGTACGAAGGTGCTTGAGCGAGGGAGGGTGTGGCAATGTTTTACAATGATGATCAGGATAGTTACAAAAATAATGAAGTTTATTTTCATTACCACGAAAAGGAAATAAAAGATTCATATTCTTTAGTTCTTTCGGTAAAGTCACGTAGGTAGGAAAAATAATTGATCACGACGTTTCGATCGCCACACAAGCAATCGTCTTCAGGTGGGAGAGAGAAACAGGCTGCTGAAACAAGTCCTTATATATAGTGTCGAGAGGGGGGGAGGGGGGGGGTTGCCACATCGGGCAAGAGGGTGGGGGCTAGAGATTGTGTCTAAGCGAATGGAAAATCCAAAGATGGGAACCGAGATGGGGGGGGGAAGGGGGGGGTTGTGGTTGATGCGAGAGCTGCGAGAGCTAAGGAGGTGGCCATTGTATTGTGAGAGATTAGCATACTCTTTGGTTTTATTCAGTAAAGTCACGTAGGTAAAATAAAATCAAAGAAAACACCACCACCCGACTCAGAAGAATTATCTCATCAAAACGTTATACCACAGGGCTCATTGCATTTCTGACCAACACCACCTGACCAGTGAATTAAAACATGTACATCTGGCCCTCAAGATGAACGGTTACTCTGACCGTACCATCCGCCAAGCTGTTTCTCCCACCATACAGAAACAACCACTTGACACTCCGATCAAAATCATCACGTTACCATACATAGCAGGCGTTACTAAAAAGATTTCCAAAATTCTAAACAAACACAAGATCCAGGTCCGGTTCAACACAGTACACAAAATCTGTGATCTGATCCCATCCGTAAAGGATGTCATTCCTGACTTACAGTACCCCGGTGTTTACCATTTGAGTTGTACCTGTGGTGACTGCTATATCGGGGAGACGAAGCGACATATCTCTGACCGAATTCGCGAGCACAAATTAGATTTGAAACACGGCAGAACGAATTCTTCTGCCGTGGCTGATCACTGGTACAACGTTGTGGGTTATCATGATATTGTTTTCTCCGATACCAAGGTACTCTGCAAACCTACCGGTTATTGTCAGAGATTTGTCCACGAGGCCATCCAGATATACAAACACAGACACAACTTCAACCGAGAGGATGGTTTCAAATTAAGCAACCATTGGAAAGATGTTATAAATCAAGTCAAACGTTAGCTGCCTTTTAATTATACAGCAATTTTCAGTGGTGGTATGCCAAACTTTAGATCTTTTCGTTTTCAAAAATGGGGCTTACTCGCCCGCCATCGCCTCCCCCCCAACCCCCCGTCAGCACAACAAAAAGGAGTTTTACCCGCATTTGTTGGCACCACAGCCTCTTGCCGACCCCCCTGCAGCTTAACAAAAGGCGGCTTGACTCAGCCCTCCCACGCCCCTTTCTGACTCCTCCCCCCCCTTAACCTATATATAAACCCGATCGTCTCAGAGCTGTGTACTTAACACAGATTTTCTGCTGTGATTATTCCACCTGAAGACGGAAGCTTGTGTTGCCTCTGAAACGTCGTGATTTAATTGTTTTCTTTGATTTTATTTTACCTATGTGACTTTACCGAATAAAACCAAAGAGTATGAATCCTTGCAGTCATGAAAGCTTCAAATCTAGAAGAGATTAGCATGTCAATGTAAACAAACCAACGCAACGGTGGCTGTGCTAGTGAGACATCCAGCTCGTTAGAAAACGAGGGAAACAAACGAGGAACAACACCACATCGGGGAAAGAGAGAGAGACCGAGGCACACCCACGCACAGAGAGAGACACACAGAGAGAGACACATATAGAGAGACACACACAGAGACACACACAGAGAGAGACGCATACAGAGAGACACACACAGAGAGAGACACAGAGAGAGAGACACAGAGAGACACATAGAGAGAGAGAGGACACACCTCGAGAGACACACACAGAGAGACACAGAGGGAGAGACACACACAGAGACACAGACAGAGGGACACACCCAGAGAGAGAGACACACACAGAAAGACATACCCACACGGAGAGAGAGAGACACACACAACATCACAGCCAGTTGTAGTCTGCAACAAAACGAGAGCCACCGCCACATTGAGGGAAAGGGGGCAACGTTAGCTTTGTTAGTGAGACATTTAGCCCGTGAATGTAAAGACATTTAACTTGGTAATGTAAATTGGTAATGTTAACTCAGAGTCGTAAATAACTGCTGACAATGGCAGGTAAGATGGAAACATCAACAACCAGTTAAGGCTTTACCTGGTTAATAACGTCCTTCCAATGATTGCTCCATTTGTACCCATCTTCTCGGTTGAAGTTATGTCTGTGTTCATATATCTGGATGGCTTCATGAACAAATCTTTGATGGTAGCCTGATCCCATCTGTGAAATATGTGATTCCTGACATACAATACCCTGGTGTCTACAAATTAAGTTGTGTCTAGGGTAGCAGTTATATTGGGGAAACGAAACGACATGTCTCGGACCATGTTCGCGAACACAAGGCAGGTTTGAAACACGGCAGAACCAATACCTCTGTCGTGGCTGATCACTGCTTGAACGCGGTGGGCTCACACGACATTGTCTTTTCCGAGACCAAGGTACTCTGCAAACCTTCGGGCTACCATCAAAGATTTATAAACAAGAAATGGTACATTCCTACTCGTTGAAGTCATCTGTAGATATCTATTTAGGAATTTAAACAGTATACTGTATATATAAAATACATATACATAAATATGCTGTCCCTAAGATGCATTGGATATTAATATTTCCAAAATGAGAATGTAATTATTCCCCCTCCATGATTTCAACTCGAGGTCACGATTCAATTCACATAAGAAATCTTTTGTCGTTGTTGTTCAAGTAGAAATGTAATAAAATCTCTACAATCTATGGTATGAACATACGACTTGGAAATAATTGATTATCATGTGCATGATTCAATCCATGTTTCGTGAACCTAAGCATGTTTTATTTATTACATCCCTAATTGCTATCCATTTATAAATTTCACAACCAGATTCCCGCTGAGCTAAATAATGATCATTCATTGACCTCTTGACAGTCATTCCCAGCTCTGCCAACGCTGGCCAAGACACCAAGCGAAGTGCATGATGATGCTCGCATGGCAAAGAAAAAAACGGATAGGACAAAACGTACCGGATGACAAAGTCGTGTTGGTCAATCTCCTCGCCGCACGCGCTGCCCTCAAGGATGCCAGAGTTTCCGACGACGGCACAGGAGCCATAGCGACCACCCCTGAGTGGCGGCGCCGTGGGCAGCAGGGCATGCAGGCTGTGTGATACGTTAGTGGTGCGCCCGCGGTCGAAGATGTAGTGCACCAGGTCGCCTGGCTGTACCTGGGCCTGCAGAATTGACACGTCGCGATCCGCGTCCAGGAACTTGAGGATGTCCTTGCTGCTCGCACAACACGGGGGGAGGTGAACGCAACGAGGGCCGATTGACAAATGCACATCGTTCATGGTGACGTGCACGACGTTCAGATGAGGCATGTGGCCTTTGGGATTGTGTAATTTCAATGGCATCGTTTCAACAAAAGCCAACTCTGGACAAGTTGCTACATTCAGCGTCTTACTTAGGCAGTTAGGCTTGCTTGAACCAACGCTGGCGAACTGCCTGGCCGATAACAATTACACATAGACTGGCTGCGCTATTATTGTCAGAATTACCAGTACTTTCGATTGGCTGAGAGGCTATCATAGTCCTGGTTAGACTAATCATTGTGCTCGCTTAGACACGGACAGACAGTTTTTTTTAATTTTATACTGATATGTTTCAGCAACCATAAGAAGTTTTTTTAGTTAGATTGCGTAAATATATGTGTCGTTAAAACCCGCCACCACCCGACACAGCCAGCTAGTAAGGGTTGTCACGTGAACAGAACATGCCAATTTGTCACTAGTACAGCACACCTGCGTGTTGGAGAACCAAGCCACAACATTTACAATCTGAGTACGACGTTTCGCCAGTAATTACAACTAGCTTCATCAGGCGACAGCCAGATTTGTGGAGAAGTCTAACCGTTGCGTTCCTTATATAGAGGCGTAGATGTGGTGACCACACTTCTGCGCTCTTGTGCAAAGTGGCGGGGTATTAATGAGTTAACGTACATTATGCATCTGCATTATGCGAGCCCTTTGATCTTGTCCTTCCTGTCTATTTTGTGTATTAAAATAGCCATACCAACGGTAATCACTAATGAAGTATGGTGCCCTTTATAGGCATGCATTTAAATAATGTATTATTTGATCATTCACTTCCACGCAGCACTAAGGCGGTAGCTATCCGAACGGTTAAAATTATTTTTATTTCTTTCAATTTCGATAGATTCTCTAATTAGTCTTGGCCAGTAGCAGCTAGTTTTGCACAGAACTTCAACATCATCAAAATCAATTGAGTGTCCTTGTTGGCACGCGTGTTCTGCTACTGCTAACACTTTGCGCAAGAGCGCAGAAGTGTGGTCACCACATCTACGCCTCTATATAAGGAACCAAACAGGTGGATTTCTCCACAAATCTGGCTGTCGCCTGATGAAGCTCGTAATTACTGGCGAAACGTCGTACTCAGATTGGAAATGTTGTGGCTTGGCTCTCCAACACACCGGTGTTGCTGTACTAGTGACGAATTGGCATGTTCTCTTTACCTGACAACTCTTACAAGCGGGCTGTGTCGGGTGGTGGCGGGTTTTATTGACATATTTATATATTTACGCGATCTAACCCAAAAAAACTCTATGATGGATGAAATTGGTCGCGAAAACCTACGTGTTAAAATGTTTTAGAAACACATATCCAAGGCCACGTAGTGACTATTAATTTCGAAAATACATGTTAGGTTTGAAATGAATGATATTACTACAGCTTACAACATCTTGATCAGACCAAATACTAATTAAAAAGTAGCAAACTTTGGTTTAGAGTTTAGGTAAAAGTTTGATTAACACATTACAAACACACAAGTGCACACTCACACCAACTGTTATGTGCAAACTGTTAACACTACACTGTGCTATTCTGGTGAAAAGGGTGACCTTGGGGTGTTTGTGTGTTAATTTCATATGAAAGTGGAAAAAATAAAATAATCTCACATAGCTCATTTATAAATGCTATGGAAGAATGCTTATTGAGTCCCAGAATGTAATTAAACAGTCCCCAAATGGCCCTACCCCCAATGCCACCCAGCACAATGGTGCTGCATTACAGTCAGTGAGGCTATTTTTAATGAATGCCAACATTTATTGAACAAACAAAAAATTCCAATGAAAATTTGCATGAACACTGAATATCTTTCCAGCCAGTTAATTACCACATTCTGCAGTGTCTCAAAAAAAAACTAAACAGTTTCAGAAAAAAAAGATGAATCCTAAAAGCATCCAATTAATGCAAGTGCTTTCATCAGGCTTTTAACATTAGTCTATACTGTTAGTTTGCTTTCTGAGCCATTCACTTATCCCTTTTAAAGTTCTTAAATCATGAAGCCACTTTGCATTTTTGCTCACTACCTGCAAATGTGTAAGCCTGCATTAGTATCTTATCCTCCAAGCAGCATCATGGGCTTGTAAAAAAATTATGCGTAATTACAGTCGTCTTTTCAAAAATTCCCGTGGGTTAAATTACAAGAGAACAAAAGTAGAGGATTAACATTCTCAAGAAATTCACTAGCTTGGAGCTCTTCATTAATTCTAAATGTTTAGAGAACATGCGAAGAGGAGCTCGTTATTGGCCCCGTGCCAGTTAAGTAAAGGCACACACACAAAGTAGAGTGGCATGCATTTTAAGTTGAACTTGGCATTGCTGGAACAAGCTGTACAAGTCAGTATGATATATGGGCACATTTTTGGTGCCATTTCTAGTCACGCATGAGTGACTCGACACATGTTTATATCAACATTGAAAAACAAAGCTGTATCTGATAAATAGCTATAATTTTTTTGGTAAATTAAAGTGACTCCCTGCACACAAAAGCCAAAAGAGGAAACTGCACTCTTGGTATGGCAGGGTTCTGTTTCTGCCTAGGCACCTACTTTATATTTGGGTATATTGTACCAAAAATGAGGACGTTGATTATAAGAGTGACACATTTCAAATGTAAATTGTATCCCCATACAGACCATTTTCAAACGTAAACAAAAATTTGTGCACCACCATCCATGCTTTAGCGGAAAAAGATGTCCTAGTATGCGCAACAATTCCGTCGACCACTTCCCACAGCCTTATTATGTACCACAGGTTGGAAAACACTGCACTAGGTGACACTGGCAAACGGTGTCCTCTAGAGTGATTCATTTCCAAGAAGAAAATAATATGAAATAAAGACAAAGGTAAATAATTTTAAAAAACAAGGATCATCGTTAAATTGTAGATATCATAAAACAGGTGGGGAAGCAATGTACACACATAGTGTATGAATCATTCATAAACTGCTTGTGTTGCAGGAAAAGGGTTGCAGTGAGTGATTAATAGTCCAATGCTAATTAGTTCCCATTATTTGCTGAGTTTATCTCCTATGCTGGCTGGCTAATATAGTGGTCCAGCATTATGCCTGAACTTGTCATCAAGTTATTAGCAGCAATGCAATTGCGAGGAACACGGACATTCACCTTGTTCCAAGCTTGTGTGACATACCAAACCTATTATCTAAGTAGCCAGGCTAGAGACGCACACCATGTGATGGCAGATATTTATTTAAAGCAAGTTGATCAAGCAGACCCTTCACGGCCACGTGCCTTACAATCTCACGCCTCATAGCCACCATGGCAAACGGAACATTAATTATGGGTGAATAGAGCGTTAGATTTTTTTGTTTGTTATAACATGATTAACCTTCCACTGTTAAATCGGCTGGCCTACGAATATGCAAATGAAAACTTTCCAGGGCATGCTTAATTGGGTCATGAGCCACATTTATAAAATATTTATATCAATTAACTATAAGCAGGCAATAGCAGCTATTCAGGATTTGAAATTTCTATACTGTACATAATTAAATAATAGTAAGTGGCGCATCTGTGAGTATTATGAACACAGTTTTTTAACCCAATAAATAGTGCTTCTTGGAGGAAATGAACTCTGTCAGCTACCGAGAAAGCAGCTGTGACGAGTGCAACACTACGATGTAGACTGAATGTGTATGATTCAATATCATGGGAATATGGCAGGGGATGGCTAAAAAAGACAACTTTTAAATGTCGAGGTCAAAATGTCTTCACAAATATGGTACATGCATTACTCAAAATGGAAGTATCTAAACATGCATGGTAAAATAATGTAGGCTGTTTAACACGTGTGGCTAAATAAAGCTGTGGGGGCGTGGCATTTGTGAATTGTGCCAATTAACATGGCGGTTGCATTGTTAGTAAAAGCTGACAAACATCCATAATTAAATAATGGAGGTTGTTGACCGTGCATGGTGAAATATAGGTCAGGATGAGTGTGGCATGTGTCGTTCACATATTCCGAAAGCCCACTCATCTTAGCACCACAACTGAACCCACAGGCATAACAAAAGCAATTCCGTATTATATTAGTAATTTAATAACGAATAAGAAACCATTGCACAATAAGTGCTGTGCAACTGATTAGATTGGAAAAGGCATAAATTTGACAAATCCACACAGCAGTGAGATGAGATAGAAGTTAATTTGTCAGGCCAGTGTGAAGCGCTATATAAAGTCATAATTGCGGCAACACTGCGGGGTTTTACATGAGCATTTGGGGTGCCCCCTGTGTTACACACCAGACTACAGAAAAAAACTAGACGTCGTTTTGACAAGGGCAATTGATTGCATACATGTGCACATGCAACTATGTACACTTACATTTTGCACAAATATGACAACATAGGATGCAAAATCTATACGAGATATTTAGAATCATTAAATCGCTTTAACTTGAAATAACTACATACAAGCAATCATATATAGCCTCAGTGGCATTGAAAAAATCACTCTCGTCTAATAACATCCTGGCCAGGCCAGATACCACCCTAAATAGATAATGTACAACATTTCGATTCAGGTTGGCCATCTCTGAATAAGATGCATTCATATATAAATATGAAATAAATTCAGCTTATTATACCTACATACATTCAAATATATCAGTAGGCAAAAATGGACAAAACAAACATACCAATAAATGCTGCAGGGTGGTACAGTGGTAAAGCTTATATCTTATAGCATGGAGAACTGGAATTTTATTCCTTATTCAAGTACCTGGTGTTTGTATGTCCCCCCACCTCCATGCATGAATCTCCTTCAAGATTTCCCAAAGCTAAAATCATATGACGTAATTGGTGTTGGCCAAACATTCCAAAGCAGAACCCTCCCGAAAAAAAATCTTGGACTGTGTGACATTCATGGGTAAATAAGTAATTATGTCTCCACTTCTGGATGAAGGCCTCCCCTCAAGTTATTTCAATTTCTCATGTTCATGCAATGCCACAATCCATCTTGCTAATGGACATGAGCTGATGTCATCGCTCCATCTTCACAACTCCATTACAAGTCTTGTCCATCAGCTGGCATCCCCGTTTTAGCAATGTCCTGCTGAAACCCTCTTACTTTTATTAAGAGTCAACAAGTGATCTCTATATTCTTGGTTCTTTCGGTGAAGTCACGTAGAAGGGAAACAATAAAATACATTTTCTTGCTGTGGTTTTCACACCTGATGATGGTTGCTTGTGTTGCAGTCGAGACGTCGTGAGAATTTTGTTTTATATTTTTATTATTTTATTGTTTCCTTTCTACGTGACTTTACCGAAAGAACCAAGAATATGAATCCCTGCAGTCACGAAAGCTTTAAATCAAGTGATCTCTAATTTGTGTTTGTTCTATCATTCACATGTTCTTCTTTCTGTCATTCAGTGTAATTTATAGAATGCATCTCTTTGTGTTTCTTTGCCCATTTCTCAGCTTTTGCTCTATGTTGTGTATCAGAGTATATATTTTGAATCCATGTCCTGGCAGGTAATATATGCACCGATTGAAAGTTTTTCTTTAGGCACATTGGTATGTTGCTTTTCAATGTCACATTTAATTTTCAAAAGCATTCAATGCTGCTCTTCCTCACCTTCCTTTTCATAATTTTGAATCCAGGGCTTATTCAGTAATTTCCTAGAGATGCATACATACTGTTGTGTTCTCCAATTGTGTCCCTCAAACTATTGATTTATTTGTTCACGTAAAACAATTAACGTATGGAAATTCTATATCGTGCCGAGTTCCCACAGAAACTACAGCCCTTTTCTAAATATGCAGCATGCTGATCATGGTGTGTTTTTTTACCATACCATATTTCACCACACTAGTAAGTGAGAGTTGGAGAAGGCGTGGGGTGCCCAGGACCAGTTCAGATATTACTTCCCACTGATATAAGCCACGGCCAGCAAACGCAAGTCAATATTATGGCCCCAGTGAGATAATTGTTGTTCCACCGCTTTCTACCCCCATCCCCAATACAAATAAACAATTAATAAAGATACATGAATAAGTATACCACTATACATGCAATATAATGGCAAGTCACTGTTAAGATGAAAACATAGTTTTATTCAACTCATAGGTTTGCTTTGGATTCACCAGTAGCCCTAGGATTTTCACTAAATTTAAAAACCATTACGAACCTCTTTTCTTATATCTTTAAAAATCCTTAATCAGTGCCAACCAATGAGCAGCCGGTGAGCAGTGTGTTTCCGATCCAATCACAGCTGAGTGCCCTCAGTAGCTGAGCTGCAGGAGGCAGGCACCAGCCTCCTCGGTGCTACTTTGAGAAGCTTCCAGGGAGCCCTCCACAACAAATCTACTGGTCGGTGCAGTCCATACCTATGTGAGCATCATCTTTTGCACGTCTGTGTCAAGATCATCACCTTTCCCATGGAAGGACTGGGTGTAATAACATGCTTCAATCGAGTACGAAAAAGGATCTGGCAGCAAGAACATTTCTTCTGAAAAATTGTCTTTGGTTACGCAAAATGTTCACTGGTATCAGTGAAAAGTTATATTGCACCCTCACATTGTCAATGTCCACCACCTTTTGATAAAACAGGAGTCATGCACCCACCTGTATATTGTAGCTGTTCTGTATATCACAACAGACCTGTAACAGGTAATGCAAGCCACCGTACCTTGTATTTGCAAATCCATTTGATGAGATTAAAAGTGCATTGCAAATGCAAAACACTGATCAGTCATAGAGACAGGCCATGTCAGGTGTAAAAACTGCAGTTAGTGAATGGCATGGAAAACTATCCATCAATCAATTACATTAATGGTATTAGACATGCCTGACACACAGAAGCTGACTAAAGCAGACTGCTCCCTTCCCCACCTCCCACCAGGCTGACAAGAGTGAAAATTGAAAGCTGCTCCGTAAAAATACTGATGCATTTACGTACCGCAGATGGGTATACAACGCCACACAATGTGGACAATCCATGCTGAGGATTTTCTTTATGGTTTATTGTCAGCCTTTACATGCAAAGTGCACAAAATATATACATAATAAAAACACATCTGTGCATGTGTTGGCGCACTGATAGGCACCTGACAACTGTGGCACCAGCTGTTACCCCATACAGAATAATAGCTACCCTATGCAGAAGACTATGACAACACTTACATAAGCACTACCCAACAGTCTTTGGGTTGTTCGACCATACTTCCATCACGCTGGTCAGTGCAGGATGGCTCAGATGTCACTCACCACTGATGTTATCCATGGCCAGGAATCAAACTCAGGTGTGCGGGGTGCATAGTACAGCGCTCTAAATACCTTTCCAATCCATCCCACCATATTCCATAGCTACCCATTATTGGAGTGCAAATGCAGGCTGAAGTGGTTGCGTTTGTAATTTTTCTTATGAAGACAAATTTTATATGTATACCCTCTTTTATATAATTTAGGATTTATGTTGAGAATTAACCGGTTTATAGCAAGAGAGAAATTCAGATCTGTACACTAAATGGTTGGCAAAGGCATGTGTTAAAAAAATACATTAACTCAAAGGACAAACAATACTATATCTATCTTCTAGTCTCAATGCTCACACTATGCTGGCAGAACTATAGAAGCAAGCATCGATGTAAACCTTATGTTCATAATACGGTAGTAGTAGTAATAATAATAACATTTTTAATAGATAATAAAATCCCTCAAGAGACTTGAATTGGGCACCACGTCTTTAATACTGGTATAAGCTACAAAAACAGATAAGTTAGAAGACCATAAAGGAAGTGGGGGAAATATTAGTCATAAAAACAGAATAAAACAGAGTAAATAATAGGCGTTTTGGCGTCATCTGGTCCAACACCAGTGGAGACTAGGCTCTAAGAAAAGCCGTCTTGGGTGTGGACCAATCAATTTCAAGGACAGTGCATATTATTATCAGAGTTGTCTCTTTTTGTCTTCATTTTGACTGCTTGTGTTGTGGTTATTGCAAACATGACCTCTTATATAAAGGTGTCAGTTTTGGTGCCAGATAAAAGGGTAAAAATCTATTACTATATCTTGCTACTGGCAAAGGAGGTCTCATAATGTAAGAGTAAATATATTTAACAAAAAAATAATACTAATGTCTATATGAAAAATCCTTATGAAGCAACAGTATATTTTTACTTACTGTACAGCTTCCAAGACCAATGTTCTAACACTGAATGGTATTGGACAATTTTACTGGTAGGAACCTCCTGGTTACACCAGCCCACAGGGGATTATTGTGTCCGTCCATCCGTCGTGCATCCAAAAATGGGAGGGGTGGGGCTGGGTGGAGAGGGGAGGGTGGGGAGGGGCTGGGTGGGGAGGTGTGGGGCTGGGTGGGGAGGGGAGGGTGGGGTGGGGCTGGGTGGGGAGGGGCTGGGTGGGGAGGGTGGGGAGGGGCTGGGTGGGGAGGGGCTGAGTGGGGAGGGTGGGGCTGGGTGGGGGGTGGGAGGGGTGGGGCTGGGTGGGGAGGGGCTGGTCACCCCGTGGTGCTCTTATAAAACTCAACGTTTAACCTACTCACGCCGGCTTGTGCCCGCCCTCACAGTCGGGCATATTTGCAGAATACACCACGCCGCCGTTGACCCTGGCCATTAACCGAGAAACCCAACGTTCTTACCAGCTCCCTCCGCAGGAATGTGTTGGATGGAATTAGCACTAAGCAGCAGGGCTGAGAGGACAATGATCCTGTTCACTAGCTAGGACACAAATATGTAACTACTCCAGGCTTAACAACAATTTAAAATAGAGGTTTAACAGCATCAACTACGTTTAAGATAAACGTTTACCGGCAGGAAAGCTACAAGTTGGCAGCTGGCAAGCCTCCTATCAAGCACATGCTTGAGAAAACCATGTAAAACATCGCTGGTGAAAAAAAAACACTAAGAAGTGCATGCCAAACAGCACATCATTTGAGTCTGATGGCCTGGAATGCTTTTATTTCAAGGGGAAATGTAACTAGAAAATAAATCAAATCAATACACGGCTTGTTAGGGCAAAGAAACAAAATATATAACAATGCAGAGGGCCAGTCTGCTTAAATTCAGAGGACAATGTGAGGTGGCAGGACCAGGTGTAATGCTTCTTTTGTCATTTTTAATATGCAAGGACAGCTAAACACAAGCGCACGTGCACACAGACACCCACCCACCGTATGTGCATGGCGAGGGACAGGTTGAAGTGCCACCCTTGCGCTCCTTCCACGGGCCAGTGACTGCTCTCACCACTCGCACTCATGTTGCCGACACGGGCTCTCTGGAGGCCCCTCATGTCTCGCCTTGGGAGGAAGAGCAAGAGAGTGGGAGAGAAAGTAAGACGGGACGGGGGTAGGGGGGCAGCAGTTGGGGAGAATATCGAAAGGCATCTGGTTAAGGCTGTGTCAAAACAAGGCTTAGTAGCAGCCTGTCATTAAACCAGGTGTTGCGTGATAAGGCCAGCACATGCCTGTAATCCAGCAGATTGGAGCAACGGTTGTTGGATCACATCAATGAAACTCCAGATATTGGTGGATTGTGAGAAGGTGCAGCACCCTCAGTGTACATAAAGGGCAATTGAAGGCTCAGAAGTAATTCCAATACCACCTTCCAAAGGTTATTGTCTTACAACATTGAGTAGGTGATGCATTGTGAGAATTCTGTATGAAAATTTCTGTTCTCATGACATAATGTCCATAACATAATCAGAATACTAAATGGAAGCACAGCAAATAAAGGCAAAGTGAATTATCTCAATCACACCATTAGCTACATAAAACACACAAAAATCCTTAAAATCATTGTCCAAACATCAAAATGCAGCACCCTAATGCAAAAGTGTTGTCATTTGGGGGGGTTGTACATACAGAACTGTTATCATGGGACTTTTTTGCCGGTATTATAGAACTGCTATATACATTTAATCTGGATTTGGTTTCTCTGCTCACAATGCTATTGCATTATTGTTTATATAAAGTGTGGCCACGAAGCAAAAAACTAGATAAACACATTCAACTTTGTGAGGTACACACATGTGCTCCGAGTAAATGTCATGGTTCTCTCCTTGTTCGCTGCAGTCTGACATTCAATGAGTATTTCTGCCTTTGACAATTGCATTTTCATAACAATCTCAGTGTGCAAAGTTCCTTATTGATGCCCATGAATTCTTATGCCAGTTCCACCTTGCATGGCTCTTTTTTTATAGCAGCAGTAAGCCTTATAGTGGTAGAATATGGGTTCGTGCAAAGGTTTAACACCCCTTTTCATTTGCAAAATGTGAGAAGCCACAAATAAAGACATTAATTAATGTGGTGAAGAGGTTTCTAGAGCGTACATTCATCTTAAGCATCAACCTTACCGCAGCTTAATCCGAGTGTCAATAGAGTAATGGCTCCGCAAACTCCAGCACACAGAGGAGACATTCATTAAACCCAACTGCAAGGCTGCTCTCTCAGTCAGATGGCACGACCTAGAAAAAGGCTGAATCCAGGATGCAATTCTGCACCCAGCACTATGCAGAAGGCTCAAGAGACAGCAGCAATGGTGCACACTTATGTAAAAACATGTGGAGAATTATCACACCACATTATTTCAAACCAAAAACTAAGGAGAATTTTTTTTTATGTTCCTCAAGGACAATTACCCAACACCTGTGGTTTTTTCATCACACCCAACAAACGAAGCAGCAGCAAGCCATGGTTAATTGCTATACAAAGGTTTGAATCTTGCTTTAAAACTTAAAATGCTAAAATCAGACTGTCTGATTGCACTGGCTTCTAGTAATGGTAATGACCGCCTTTATCAATTCTACGAGCATAAACCTGAGAGTAATGTAGGGTTCTCTGAAAGTCGAAGTTTTCCAAACACGCGAATTATTTTATTTTATAAGGCTTTGATTTAGGTGGCAGGCTGTTTTAACATTTTTCTTTCTCATTCCCAGAGGAGCTGGAAAATGTGATCACTGGAAGTGAGAGAATGGACATGCCAGGGGGGTTGTTGTGTCTCTGTGGTGGGTTAAAAGTTACTGGCAATGTGCATGTCACATATTGACAGGGTTGTAATAATAAACACTATATTTTTGCAATGGGCTGGTGAACTGTGATGTATGTGTAGGGGTGTTGTGGGAAGGTAACACAGTGGGAAGGTGACACACAGCCACACCTTGGTGGCTACAACCACGTCCGCTATAGCCCCCCCCCCTCAGTGGTGTATGGGTATAAAGGGCGGGGGAGCCAGAGAGCTCGGGGCAGTGTGTTGGGGCCAAGAATGAAGAACCAGTGAAGAAGGAAGGCCGGCTAGATAGACCCTGGGACTTCCCTGACCGCTGTCCTTTTAAGGGCCGGCAGGGTAAGCCGGTGGTGCGGCCCCAGAGCCTCAGAGCCAGAGCCCTTTTAAGGGTCGGTCTGGTTGGTGGGGTGCCGTGATCTGTGCTTGACCAGGGCCAGATCAGATAGCCTCATCTAGCGCCTGTAGCTGGAGGAACTTGGAGCACAGGAATTAGGCTAGATAGCCTAGGGGGTGTCCCAGCGTGTATACGGGTGAAGGGGCCGTTACCCCTTCCAGTGTAACCCTTGTTAAGTTAAATAAACAGTGCTGCCTCTACTCCACCGTCTCCGTCTCGCGTGAACCCACTACATATGTCATGAGACTCACAGGTGTTAAAGATACATATTCAAAACCAAATGCAGCTCGTAGCATTAATAATAATACCTAATTAACAAACCCACTAGGCGGAGTACTGAATATGCACAATAGTTTTCACTTTGCATTTGTAGTGGGCTCAAACTGACTCGCAGACTTGGAGGCAACACATTTATTAGGACCAACACACATTAACACAAAGGGGTAACTGCCCCTTCACCAGATAACAACCTATGGTGGTGGTCCACCAGGCTAACTACACTAATTACACTTGGAGTAGCGACAATGGACGGGACCTCAGCTTGGGTCCAGGTCCACGTGTTGACGACTCTTCTTGGACATCGGACGTGGAACGTCATTTTTTCAGGATGACAACAGCAGCCGGTGCCGCTCAGGGCTCCGGGTTATAACCTGTGTGGCAGGGCTCGCTCCGCCCCTAGCCACGTCCACATCCTCCAAACCTCGAGAAGGATCTTCATCTGGACACGTAATCACCCCAGTCCCCCTTCTGGGTTCCCCGGGTAGATATCTCCGGTCACGTGTCCTCCAGGTTCAACCAGAGTGCCATAGTCCCCTTGTAACCCCGTACCGTGCCCGGCACTCTCGCCCTCTATCCTGTAGGGGCTGGCATTGCACGCAGAGCGTGGTGCCATCTGTCACTGTCAGTCAGTGTTCACTAGGGCCCGTACTGCATCCACATTCAAGTGGTGTCAGCGATGTCAATACATTGCGTGCCGTGCTTTTCCACAGGCCGGCTTCACACAGTAGCATCCAACGATGTCACTACACATTAATAAAAAAACCAAAACCTCTTCACATTTTCCAAGCAGAATCCCACATAACCTGACACAAAACAATAATTAGTGAATGGCTAGTGGACAGTTTCATGGCACATTATGTCGATTCCACTTCGTTATTTATAAGCAATGTAAGCTAAAAGAAGATTACATAGGCTGTCGAGTTATCCAAAAAACTTTTCAAGATATGGTCAAGCACACCATTATAGTTAATGTGACGTAATTACCATATCCTTCAACACATTCATAAAATTCTGATATTATCCAGTGCAAGTGGAGAAAAATTCACTGAGTTGTCACTTTAAAAAGACATGTAATGTATTTTTCCTTGTTTAATCCAAATTTTGCTATTTTTGTTATGCCACGATTCAGAACTCAATAAGCAGTGCATTCACCCCATGATAGAGAACAATTCAAAGGAGGTATTGCAAGACTTCTTCTGAAATCTATTCAAGTACCCTCTTATGTACATTGGAGGGCAGAACTTTCCAAACCCAATCTGTTACAGACAGAAATGTCCGTCATAAACATGTGTCATTTTAATTCTGAGCTGAAATTTAGCCAAATAAGGTACAATAAAAATGTTTTCTTGTACAGCCATTGGTGAATCCAGGTTAACCATGGGCGGCTCCAGGATGTCAGCGGTACCAGCTCAGCGCTCTGACCCGAGCTACTCAGTCACCTTAATCAAGGAGTTATCACTTACCAGACACTACATGGTCAATTCAGAATAACCCACCTGCAGAGCAGCCCTTGCTTGTATTTAAATGGGCAAATTAGATGAATTCAAATTAATTTTAAATATGAGCTGGGACAAAAATAAGTTGAACTTAAGCTCCTGGGAATCTAGTAAAGTGGGCCATCCTCCACATTATGTATATTATTATAGTCACATTATACAGAGATAACTGCATTCACGATTGAAATCAGTAATAATCCCCAAAATCTACTGGGACGGTTTTCTACGTAACTCAGAATTATAATAAACTTGGTCATTTAAAATGCAACTTCAAATTTAAGCTTTTCCAAATTATCGGTCTCAGTTCAAGTGTTAAAAAATACCATGGAATTGTTTAAGCATGAGGACATTAAATATAAGTCTTAACTGGATGAGTATTTGCCATTTCACAATGAATATAGAATGCAGGTTAATGATGTGACTGCATTGGACATGTTATTCCTGATGAGATCATTGCCTGAACAGAAAATACTGTCATTTGTTCTAAAAATAATAATTTTGTTTCTTAGGTAATATACTCCCGATTAATTCCACTGCAGCTATAGCTAAGTTACCATTGCCTGAGAGAAGCTGCTGATTAGATTCCTATTTGATTAATATTTTCACACACTATTGCCTTTGTGCAATTGATCCCAGATTCGTTAAAACTAACAAATTATCACGTGTAAACCTCCACTGTTGCCAGGAAAATAACATCCACGTACAATGTTGTTCATTTTACTTGTGCGTCCCAATTTAATATTTTATCAATGCCAATTGAATTGTACAGTTGTTTTTTTGCCGACTTTGCAAAGTGTATGTGGAATGTGGCTATGACTTGGACATACAACGAAACAAAGATGTATTTTATCTACTTCAACACACAATAAATAAGCAATTAGGAATCAACACATAAGGGTGACTTGCGTTGAGCATAAATATACATCCGTTGAGCATAAACATGCATCGCAGCATGCATGCGGTCGCTGTGGTTGCTGAGGATCGTTGTTCTCTTAAAGCAACGGTTTCACGGGCTTTTAGCTCCTAATTGCCCAGTTCAGGTGGTCACACAATTAGCCACCACATGACCACAAGCATCCTCGCACGATAATGGATGTATGTATATGCATATGGAACAATAGTACTC